TCTCTAAGAAAATGGATTTGAACTGGTTTATCGTAAGGTAACTTCTAACTAAAAATCTGTGCTTCTCTGAATTCTTTATCTTCCAACAGAAAGCATTGCTCTTCTTATTTGCACCTTGCAGTTTCACCTAAATAATAATGTTTGCTTGGCAAGGAAAAAAAATAAAGCCGGAGTCCAAAAACGGAGTCATTGTTTTAAGTAAATTATCTATCTATAGTCTGAACTAGTTACCGCTTCTGCCTGTAAACTGAAATCTTGGCATGCTTTCTACGTCTTCAGTTGCTTTTGAAAAGTTCAGGTATTATTTTACAATGTGTGAATAATTTAGTAAATGGACAAAAAGGAAGAAATGGAACCTGCTTTTTATATGTTACTTTCAATGTAAAAATATAGTCACATTAATAATTTCCATCTAGGACATTATAATCCTAGTATTAATCAGTACCAATTAGATTAAAGCCATGTTGTACCTTTCATACAGAAGCCAGATTTTGAACTATGACCTGGTTGTCACTTTTCCTCTTGGTTTAAGCATCCAACAGATTTATAAATCACAGCTGTAGTGGAGTGGGGGGTGGGGGGATGAGGAAACCAGGTAATGGGGATTATGGAGAGCACTTGAAGTGATGAGTGCTGGGGGTCCTATGGAAGTGTGGAATCACTGTATTGTACATACTCGAAACTAATGTTACACTGTACTGTAACTAATTTGAACTAATTGTTAACTAATTGGAATTTAAGTAAAAACTAAAAAAAAAAAATCACAAATGTAACTCACACATTTGACAATTACTCAAGCAATCCTCACATTGATGAGGAATCCAAAGGCAAAATAAGGAAGTTGCTTCTCTCCATTATCCTCTGTTAATTTTGTGGTTAATATTAGACTACACAATTTAAAATACAATGGCAGCACAACAAAAGAGCACAGGCTTTGGAGTTTAGATTGAAAATAGGGTTAAATCCTGGCTGTGCCATTTACCAGCTGTACAACTTTTGGAAAGTTTCCTACCATCACTAAAACTCAAGTTTACTCATCTGTTAAATAGGATTAATAGCTCCCACTTCGTTGGGTTGTTGCAGGCTCAGTAACTAATGCATCAAGTACAAAATCTGTATCGATGAATTTAGGGTGTTTGGTTTTTGTTTTTTTACCTGAAAATCTTTCTTGATGGCTCAGCATTTAAATATATATTACTTTCCAGTCTAGATGTCTGTCTTTTAAAGATTTAATGTTTATTTATTTTTGAGAGAGAGAGAGAGAGAGAGAGGATGAGCAGGGAGGGGAGGGGCAGAGAGAGCCGGAGACACAGAATCTGAAACAGGCTCCAGGCTCTGTAGAGCCTGATTCAGGGCTTGAACCCACTAACCAGGAGTTCATGACCAGAGCTGAAGTCAGATGCTTAACTGACTGAGACACCGAGGCTCCATCAGAAGTCTGTTTCTGATTTAGATCAGTACAGATGTGTTTTTTTTAAATTTTAATAAAAAAAAAATTTTTTTTTTAATGTTTTATTTATTTCCAGGAGAGAGAGACAGCGTGAGCAGGGGAGGGTCAGAGAGAGAGGGAGTCACAGACTGAAACAGGCTCCAGGCTCTGAGCTGGCAGTCAGCACAGAGCCCGACGCGGGGCCCGAACCCACGAACCGCGAGATCATGACCTAAGCGAAAGTCGTACGCTTAACCGACTAAGCCACCCAGGCGCCCCAGTACAGATGTGTTTTAATAGAGCCTATTTAAGAACTGATTTCATAGCCTGTGATCTTTTCCTGCCATTAGATTCAGATTTTTCATACTTTTTCTTTCTTTTTGGCCTACAGGAATATATTTTCATTAATCAATATTCAATTTATTCCTAGGTTATCTTGGGCATATTTTTCTTTTCCTTATCTTCCTCAAAGAAAGTAGAAATATGAGAGAAGAAGAAGATTTGGAGAATTTAACAACCAGATGATCATTATTGTTGGCAAAATGCAACTTGAATTTGAAAGCTCTTGGAAATAAGGATCCTTGATACAATTATGATTATTATATCCATCAGTCTTCTTGGGACACGTCTTTAAAAAGAAAGACTAAAATCAATTTCAATTTGTATTCTATTTATGTGTTTTTCCACGTGTGTATCTCTAGGTAGTTATCATTCAGGTACTGCACATAATACTCCTGTGAAACTCATGGTCCAAAAACATTAATTAACTTAATTTAAAAGTAGGTAAACTACTTGTAAAAAACCACTACAGCCTTAAGTGGTTGTGTTGCTTCAGGCATCTGGACAAGTCTAGGGAAGTTGACAGCTGCCAAACAAGGCTAGTTTAATTAATAATGTTTCTCAGAAATGAGTTCTGAAAAGGTGAAATCCTTTACTGTGTTAGCATGTCCCCAATGAAACCGTTAGGTTCCTACCACCCCCCCGCCCCAAGCTAGATCTTCATTTATTTATATGAAAAATATTGGGAACTTTATGCTCCACCCAAATCCTTCTCTTTAATGCTAATTAATATTCTCGTTTACCGTGTGTTGGCAGGCTCCTTTTCAAGCTATTATCATAATTTTTGCTTCCTAGCATTCCTTTTTTGCCACAATACTTAGTACTTATCTATTTTTATGCTGATAGTGTAAGATTGCATTCAGTAGATTTCTTGCTATTATCTTTTGCCCTAATAAACTTGCTGTAATGCCACATTGATTTTTTTATATCTTCATAAATGTAATTTTTAAACCCTCTTCAATTCTGGATTTGTGTACTCCCTAAAAAGGTGCTGAGACCTCGGAAATACCTCTTGACTCTTTTCTGTACATCCTGGAGACACAGTCTTAGCTCATCCCTACTGGGTTCACTGGACCACCATAGTGGCTTCTATAATTTTATTCTGATCATATCAATATGCTGCTTAAAATCTTTTAATGGTTCTCACCCTGACTCAGAATAAAATGTGATCTCCTTTGCTTGCTATACCATACCCTTCCTGATCTGGTATCTGTCTACTTCCTGATCCTCATGTAATCCTTTCTACCCCGGGCTTCAGTCATACTAAAATACTCTCCATCTTTTATGCCTCTGCACATGCCGTTCGCTTTACCAGAAGCATCTGTCCTTCCCTTACATCTAAGCTTTCTAGAAAAAAGTTCTAAAAACAACTTTATTTTGTTTTCTATCAGTTTAACTCTTTCATCAAATTGGTCATGTATTTTATGAAGTAAAGAGCTAAATAATTCAGACATTTACTGATAATGTTTTTTAGTTGTCTGATCACTAAAAATATGAAAAGATGTTCTGTGAATTTTTCATTTAGCTGCTGAAATACAGAAATATCTTAACTCCACCACCCTTCTTTCCCTGTGTCTTGTGAGGCACACTATACAGACATTAGAGGGGAGAGTGAAAGGCGGACATTAACTGTGAGCAGTGTAAAATTCATACGTGACAAACTCTCCCCAAGTGAGAAACTAGCCTTTTTAATGACAGTAAATGTCTAGAGACATCTAGATAAATATATAGACATTTCAAAGTCTATATATAAAAATCTCTATTAAAGTCTATATTAAATAATTTTACACACAATTTTAATACTGGTATTAAGAATGTCTCCTCAATATCCTATAGTTCTAATATTTGCCTCAGGCATTTACTAAAAACTGTACTAATGGTATAACTACTACATGGAATAATTTCCAGTATTTTATATTTTACACATCCTTTTATACCTTTTTTCCCCACTCCATCAACTAAAGATCCATAGTTTAACATAACTAAAATCATTGCAGTGACAATAGTATGTAAACAATGGTTGGGGTGTCTGCCTGGCTCAATCATTAGGACAATGAAACTCTTGATCTTAGGGTCATGAGTTCAAGCCCTGTGTTGGGTGCAGTGATTACTAAAATAAAATAAACTTAAAAAAATCAAATGATTGTCAATTTTTTGGGTAACTTTATACACATACCTATGGAAACCACAGATATGCTGTGCTCTTGAGTATATTCTAATGATAGTTGAATACTTATTTTTATGTTACAGCTTAGGGGCTGAACGATTTACAAATAGACTTGTTCCTTCATGTGTTGTTAGTGCTATCTCTCTTGTCCTGCTCAGTGCATTCTAGAATGGGAGTTCTGGCATATACCCAGGGCCAGAGCAAGCAGATTTTCCTTTAGAGGCTCATGTTTCTGAGGAACACATACTCGGGCAACTGGGAATCAGAGTTTAGGAAATACAGTTTCTTTCTTTCTTTCCTTTTAAGTTTATTTATTTTTAAAGAGTGACTGCATGTGTAAGTGGGGGAGGGGCAGAGAGAGAGGGAGAGAGAGAGAATCCCAAGCAGGCTCCATGCTCAGCACAGAGCCTGATGGGGGGGCTCAATCCCAGAACCATATGATTATAACCTGAGTTGAATTCAAAAGTCAGATGCTTAACCTACTGAACCACCCAGGTGCCCCAGAAATATAGTTTCTTAAGAATAGATGCACCTTTGGGGTGTCTAGGTGGCTGAGTCAGTTAAGCGTCTGACTTCAGCTCAGGTCATGATCTTCTGGTTCACGGGTTCAAGCCCTATTGTTGGGCTCTGTGATGACAGCTCAGAGCCTGGAGACTGCTTGGGATTCTGTGTCTCACTCTCTCTCTGCCCCTCCTCTGCTCAAACTCTGTCTTTCTCTCTAAAATAAATAAACATAAAAAAAGAAACCTATTAAAAAGAATATGTACACTAGCAAGTCAAATTCAATAAATGTTCTGTTTGTAATTATGTGCCATATTACTAGTAAACTTATTTTTTCATGGATGATTACTATTTGTATCTTATGTATTCGCTATAGTTAGTATTATTTGTTGTGTCTGAAATGTTAAGTGCCTAAATATGTTATTATAGTAAATAGATACGTTTAATTATGTATAAGATAGTCATAGGAATAATAGCTACAAGTATCTTAAGTATTGAAATATATTTTCAAATACTTTCAATTAATTTTTCTCCTATCCTTGAAATCTCTTTCCAAAATTTCAGAAAATCTGCACAGCCTCCTGGAAATATCCATCAACTGTTACTTAGAGATGCCAGAGTTGGTAGTAACGTCCTAACTCTGCTTTAGCTTCTTGGGTGACTGCCATGGTAAGAATGCTTTACAGAGGGGCGCCTGGGTGGCTTAGTAGGTTAAGCGTCCGACTTTCGCTTAGGTCATGATCTCGCGGTTCGTGGGTTTGAGCCCCGTGTCGGGCTCTGTGCTGACTGCCAGCCCAGAGCCTGGAGCCTATTTCAGAGTCTGTGTCTCCCTCTCTCTCTGACCCTCCCCTGCTCACGCTGTCTCTCTCTCTCTCTCTCTCCTAGAAATAAATAAAAATATAAAAAAAAAAAAACTTAAAAAAAAAAAAACCCTACAGGTTAGCAGGAGTAAGTAATGCCTATGTGAATAAGAAATTATTGGATTTCCAGTGTTTATTCTGATATTCAGTATTATACCAGATCCTAAATATGAAACTTATTAATAGCAACAGTAAATTTCCAAACTTCTGTCTTTTATTTTTAGCATTTTGTTTAGCTTTGATCAATAACTTATTTTTAGATGTTAAAATTGACTGCATGGCAAATTCTTTCTCATAAGCATGTGATAACAAGAGCATAATAGATAAATTCCTTTTAAAATATAGATCTCCAGGGGCGCCTGGGTGGCTCAGCTGGTTAAGTGTCTGATTCTTAGTTTTGGCTCAGGTCATGATCTCACGGTTTGTGAGTTCGAGCCCCACATCGGGCTCTGCACTGTCAATGCAGAGCCTGCTTGGGATTCTGAGAGAGAGAGAGCATGAGAGATGGAGAGGGGCAAAAGGAGAGAGAGAGAAGGAGAGAGAGGGAGAGGAAGAGAGAGAGCGAGAGAGAGAGAGGGAGAGAAGAAGAGAGAGGGAGGGAGGGAGAGGGAGAGGGAGGGAGAGAGGGAGTGAGAGGGAGGGAGAGAAAGAATCCTAAGCAGACTCTACCCTCAGCGTGGAGCCCAACATAGGGGTTGATCCCACGATCTTCGGATAATGACCTAAGTCAAAATTAAGAGTTAGAAACTCAAGCAACTGAGGCACTCAGATGCCCCTATACTTATGTTTTTAACAAGATAAAAGAAATGGGGGAAAACCAAAAATACTCTGATATTTAATTAAACTATCACAGAAATAAAAGTTGTATATAGACACAACTCTGTATCTATACACAACTATGTGTATGTATATATACCCATACAACTATTTACAAATATGTAAACATATACTCAAAGACTAGAAAGGAATATACAGAAACACATGTTAGGGTATTGAAGTGATTTTTTTAATTAATTTGTAATATATGCCAGAAAACATCACACTGAGATATGACTAATTTAATGTTACAGAATCTTATACAAATGAATTTGTTCAAGAGCTTCTCTGTCAATATGCTTTTCTGGGTATACATTGTAGTTCAATGGTACCTCTTCAACCCAGAGAGATAACTGTATATTAATCTGGAAGAAAAAGATTATAAAAATACATATAAACTGCAGAACGATCCTGATCTCTGGAACTTTTAAGAAATCATGACGAACTAAGTAACTAAATACAAGAGATTTTTTTTTTAACAATGAGCAGGACTAAGTTTACATGGTGTCACATGATCAATATTTTAAAAATTTATTTATTGATTTTGAGAGAGATGGAGACAATGGAAGTGGGGGAGGGGCAGAGAGGGAGAGAGAGAGAATCCCAAGCAGGCTCTGCGCTGCCTGCACGGGGACTGACGCACGGCTGGAACTCACGAAACTATGAGATCATGACCTGAGCCAAAACCAGTAGTCAGATGCTCAACCAACTGAGCCACCCAGCTCCCCTCACATGAACAATTCTTTGCTATACTACATGGTAGGTCTGTGGATTCAGGATTTAATTTACTTTGATTTTGGAACTTGAAAGAAAAAATAAAATACAGAATAATTGTTTTTATGTAACTGGTTTAATCATCATCATTAGGTTTAAACAATAAAAGACTAGAACAAGGAGAATACACAGAGAAAGGAAAAAACTATGCATACATACACAGTGATGGTGCTAAGGGATTACATGAGAAGGGCTCATCTGTCCCCCCATAACCTTTATCAGGTCCTTTCCTTTGCACTGTAAACTTGAGTCTCCATGACACAGAAATTCTAGAGCTACCAATGAATATATCTGGTTAAAGAAGTTTCATTAAATAAGAAAGCAATAAACTTATTAAAAATTTATGTATAAATTTATGTATGAATACTTATATACTCATAAGTAATAATTTCCAGTGGTTATCTAGACAGATTTACATCTTTAGTGTGAAAATTACTATTTTGTTAAGTGAAAAATCACCACGTTACTTCAAATCTATACAGAAATAATAAATTGGAGACCATATATTTAAGACACATTTTTAGAAGTATAGAAAATATGGTAGGATTATACCACTCATGAGATGGGTCTCTCCTGGAAAAGAATTAAGTGGAGGGAATGGGGAAATTAACATCTTTTCTTTATATATCTCAGGACTATATCCCTGTTATGGCAAACATGAATTACTTTTATAACTTAGATGATTAGCAAAAATTTCTTAAAGTATTATTGACGAATGTTTAGTTTTTTTAAAGGAAGAAATAGATACTTAAATTTGGTAGTGCTTATAGGTAAGGAAAGTGCTACTAAAAAAAACTATTAATACTCCCTTATTAAGAAATACAGTAGTATCTTTCATCTGGGGGTCTCTAAGAACTTTATAAATACTAATTAACCTTTATATAAAGGTCAATTTATTGGATTGAAACTTAGTAAGTATGGGCCTTATTTATTTTATTATTTTTAAAGTCTGTCGTTTTTAAAGAAATGTTTAGAGCATGCAGGGGAGGGGCAGAGAGGGAGGGACACAGAGAGTCCAAAGCGGCCTCTGCCCTGTCAACACAAAGCCAGACATGGGTCTCAAACCCCTGATGATGAGATCATGACCTTGGCCAAAGTCAGATGTTCAACCGACAGAGCCACCCAGGTGCTCTGGGCTTGGTTTATATGGAGAATATGAGGAACAAAGAAGTGGACTGCATAAAATTCCAAACTGCATACAGTACATGGACCTCCAATGTACATAGTTTATTCTAGAAGCCTTGAACAACACTAATCTTTTTGTTCTAAAGAAATGTTAAGATGTGGGTGTTCTAAGCTTCTTACAAACATTTAAGAGTATTTGTTAACCTAAAACTGTAACTCCCCAGTTGGAAAACCTGGGTGGAGTAGCAAAGGAAACTATACCAAAATAAGAATTACAATTTCAGAGCTCTTGCAGCCAATGAACAAACTACAAACCCGTTCTTAAGTCATAGGGTCTTTCTATTCTATCATATGTCACTTTATTCAGAAAAAACATTTCCAGAATATTATAATAGCTACCAGAAAAAAGTAGAAGAGGGGCACCTGGGTGGCTCAGTCGGTAAGCAGCCAACTTCAGCTCAGGTTATGATTTCATGGTTCATGGGTTTGAGCCCTGTGTTAGGCTCTGTGCTGACACTTCGGAGCCTGGAGTCTGCTTCAGATTCTGTGTCTCCCTCTCTCTCTGTCCCTCCCCCGCTCAAGCTCTGTCTCTCTAAAATAAAAATGTTTTTCTCTCTAAAATAAAAATGTTTTGGGGTGCCTGGGTGGCTCAGTCGGTTAGGCGTCCGACTTGGCTCAAGTCATGATCTCACAGTTCGTGGGTTCGAGCCTGGTGTCGGGCTCTGTGCTGACAGCTAGCTCAGATCCTGGAGCCTGCTTCAGATTCTGTGTCCCCTTCTCTCTGACCCTCCCCTGCTCACGCTGTCTCTCTCAGAAATAAATAAAAACATTAAAAAAAAAAGTTAAAAAAAAAAAAGGAAAAAGTAGAAGAAAAGTTTTGACAATAAAAATGCCGGGAAAGAGGCTTACATACCTGAAGACGTGAGAGAGAATCTTCAAGGCTTGGTACTGTTACTAATAAGGATCCTTGTTTCCTTACATTATGGCTGATATATTCCCAGGCTCTGCAACATATTAAAAACTTATATTTTAGGTTTTACCAGACACTGAACACTTAAAAAAAAAAATGATGACAAAGAAAATGCAGTACAGGCAATACCTAGAAATCCAGGTGGGCAAAAATGTTTGCCTGTAGGAAATAGGATTACAGCAACAAATTAGAAATTGGTAAATTTTTCAGCTCAGTATTGAGGAGCTTTAACAAGATGGGGATTTGTATCACTACCAGGTATTGAAAGGCCAAAACTTAGTTCTCAGGACCAATACACAAGTCAAAGCTGAATCAGCAGTTAAAGCCCCTCAAACTCTTGATGAAGTGTGTCAAAACTGGTTCTGCAGGACGGAAAAGGGCTGGGGAGAGGCAGAGGTGGGGAAGAGGTGGGGAGCAAGGCCACAGAAGCCAGAAACCAAGCAAAGGCTAACAATAGAGCATAATATGTAGGTTACATCTTTTAAAATAACATCAAGAGTGAAATCATACTTTATTTGGTTGTCAAATATATTTAATGCAAAGACTTTTGGACAGTATGGCACCTGCAAGGTTGAGTGGGGCCAGCCAGGTTGAAAGCAGATGGAATGTCGTGTACATATGCAATGTGCCAGAGGGCAACACCTGGGTAGTTCTGATTCACTTTAGTGTGGACATGAGCTGGATTTCTCATGTACATGAGTCTTAACAGTACACCCCACTACTGGGGGAGCAACGGTCAGCAAAGCAGTGGTGTGCATCCCTTGCAACGGGCAGGTGGGCAGCAGTGTCCCTTGCATTTATTTTTAGTTACAGCAATTTATTAGGTTTAATATTCTGGAGTTTATTAGGCAAATGATACATATGTTCTTTTTTCTTAGGCTAGATCTAAAATCATGTAGCAGTGCTTGGTAATAGTCACTGTGCTTGGGTTAGAGCTCTTGCTTTGATATGGTTCTTTAAAAATGATATATTTTACAAGTTTATTTATTTAAAAATTTTTTTTTTAATGTTTTATTTATTTCTAGGAGAGAGAGAGAGAGACAGCGTGAGCAGGGGAGGGCCAGAGAGAGAGAGGGAGTCACAGACTCTGAAACAGGCTCCAGGCTCTGAGCTGGCAGTCAGCACAGAGCCCGACGTGGGGCTCGAACCCACGAACCGCGAGATCATGACCTAAGCGAAAGTCGGACGCTTAACCGACTAAGCCACCCAGGCGCCCCTTACAAATTTATTTAATAAGAATGAAGAAGCTGAGTCAATTGGCATGGTTGGGCATGACTCTCAAAATAGCATCTGCTATTTCTGGTCAGCTATCACTGTAGTAGTTGCATCTGTTTTGTCTTCTAAAAAAATGCATTTAGACACCTTTGAAAGTAACAATTACTCTACAAATCTGGGGTGCTCCCCTGTAATGAGAACTAACTTATTCTGAAGCCTGAGCCTTTCCTCAGTACACATTTTCTATTAGTATATTTCTGCTTTCTCTTCTATACTAGCTCCTATAGCAACATCACCCACTTAATTACATCCCAGGCTGTAATTAAGACTACAAGTCTTTGGAGACTAGATGTGATGCCATCTATTCCTTTTCACTTAGTACAATACAGAATTAATATAGGTAAATGATCAGTTACTTCAGAACAATTCCAATGTCAAAATACTTTACTATGTGTTCTAAACATTCTCCTATATACTGTCATTCATGACCATAACGTGTATATATTTAGAATGCATTGCACTAGACTAAGTTAGGAGAAATGACTGAACCAACATATATGGCCAAAACCTATTCATTGAACAATGTAGAATTTGTGAATGAATGTACCAAGAAACCTTTTAAAGCAGCCCAAACATTCACTATTTCCAATATCAAGTTCACCAGCAGTTTTCACCAGTCTTCAGTAGTCAAAATCTTTCTACGATGAATTTCCAAAGACTTTAAGGTGTTCTAACTTCCTGTACAACATAAACCCGGCTAATATTTCATTTTCCAACAATCATGTAATGTTTTGGCTACTGGTCATTAACTTAAAGAGGTAAGAACTAACTACACTTTGTCCACTGGAAATTAAGTTTAAAGAGGGCACTATTATTAAAACAACTTTGTTCATGTTGTGTTTCTGGTCTTTAGCCCATGACCAAAAATTACCACTCACTGTGGCTGAGCTTTGACTATATGATTGAACGGTTAACCAGTTTCTTTCTTTCTTCTTTTTAATGTTTATTTACTTATTTTTGAGAGAGGAGAATGTGAGCAGGGGAGGGGCAGAGAAGGAGAGAGAGCAACCGAAGCAGGTTCCACAAATGGCATGGAGCCTGACGTGGGGCTCAATCCCATGAACTATGAGATCATGACCTGAGCTGAAATCAAGAGTAGGACGTTTAACCGTTGAGCCACCTAGGCGCCCCGAACTAGTTTCTTTTTAAAATATTTAAATTGATAATTTCAGAGTGACCTTAGCCTACCAGTAATGGGTATGGATATAAGGGTGGCAGGACAAAGAGGTTTAGCCATTTGGGATTCTACTCAGTAACAACTGTTTATGGTCTGTAACCATATACCTTTTTATTTCTCCACAATAGAAAAATTATTGATACACTAATCCAAACATTTGTGTAATTCCCTTTCATATATATGGAAAGGAGCTTTCCTGCATCTAGAGTACACATATGCCATGATGTTAATAGTCAGCAATCCTAACGAGGCAGAAAAATAAGTGTCTCAGACTATGGACCATAGGAATTTTCTAATTAGAGGAACCTACTGGTCCTGACGGGTCACAAAACATCAAAACTGTGGCAGAGAAGTCAAAAAAGTGATCACAGATTTGTTAATTTTTCCATTACCTGAAGAGTGGAATAACCTTAGGGACCTACTATTACTGCCTTAAAAATATTTTTACAGTTTGATAATTAAGCACTATTTTGATTAATATTCTTTTATCTTGTTTTTTACTCACAGAAATTCCCATCATTTTGTAATAAAATAGCATATGAGATGTCTTTTTCAAAAAAATTAAAACTGAGACAGAAAAGAGTAAGTATAAATGCTCATTGGGAACAGATAGATATCTTATTGTGTCTGTGATTGCTAAGCAGGTACTTAGGTCATGATATCATTTTATATACCCCCCCTCAATTAGACGTAATATTTTACAAAGTTAGACAATTGAGGTTTATTTTTCTTTTATAATAATACATTTCCTTATTAATATAATCTTGTTGGAGTTGTTTTATAAACAAGTTTAATATGAAAATATTTCCACTTTACCAATCCTTTGTTTTTTAAATAAATATCCATTTATTTAAGTAATCTCTACACCCAATGTGGGGCTCGAGCTCATGATCCCAAGATTAAGAGTCACTTGATCTACTGACTGAGACAGCCAGGTGTCCCACTAACTCCTTTTCTTACTTTGCTGAATATAGTTTAACAGATTCTTTGCTTGAATAAATAACATACCTGGCCTGTTCTGCCTCATCAAGAAAATATTCGAAGACATTATTCATTATAATAACATCAGCATTTTGCAGAAGTGAACCTTGGGTACAGATGTCTGCATGAAGCACCTAAAGAATAATGAGTTCATTTAAGAAAACAAAGATACTAAAAAAAAAAATTAGTTAAAAAAAAGAAAACAAAGATACTGTATCATATAACCAGATATATACCAGAAGATATATTTATTGGTTCAATGATGTTGTGAGGCAATATGAGAAGTTAACCCTACTTAAAATGGGAGAGCGAACAGTATATTTAATAGTACTGTCTGTGGGAGATACTTAATATCTAATAAAAACCATAAACTTGTGAAAATTTGTTTTAGATGGATTTATTTATATAGTCATATGAGTCTTTTAATGTCTAGTGCAGAGCTTTTCCCACTATGATTATATCATTAACTGTAAAAGTCAAAGGTCCTAGGTTCAAATTGTGGCTCTATCATCAAGAGAGTCTGTATACTTAGGCAGTCAGTATCCTCATAAATAAATCGGAATATAGCTGGTCTGATTCACAGAATCAAATGGGATCATATAAAAACTGTAAAAGTAATTGATACATTGTAAAATGTTAATATGTTTATTGGCTTTTCTGACTTTTCATCTAAAATTTACTTGAATATATTATTTATCTAAGAAAGCTAACAAGGTATTTATTTAAAAATTGTATGCCTCACACCCAAAATGATAGAATACCTAAAAATAAACTTAATTAAGGAGGTGAAAGACCTGTACTCCGAAAACAATAAAACACTGATGAAACAAATTCAAGATGACACAAAAAAATGGAAAGACATTTCATGTTCAGGGGCTGGAAGAACAAATATTATTAAAATATCTATACTACCCAAAACAATTTATAGATTTTTAATCCCTAACAAAACACCAACAGCAATTTTCACAGAACTAGAACAAACAATCCTAAACTTTGTATGGAACTACAAAGGACCCCAAATGGCCAAAGCAATCTTGAAAAAGAAAAACAAAACTGGAGGTAACACGATTCTAGACTTCAAGTTGTATTACAAAGTTGTAGTGATCAAAACAGTACGGTTTTGGCACAAATATAGACACATGGATCAATGGAATAGAATAGAAAACCCAGAAATAAACCCACAACTATATGGTCAATTAACCTTTGACACAAGAGGAAAGAATATGCAACAAGAAAAAGACCGTGTCTTTAACAAATGGTATTGGGAAAACTGTATGGCTACATGCAAAAGAATGAAACTGAACCACTTTCTTATGCCATACACAGAAATAAACTAAAAATGGAGTAAAGAACTAAAGGTAAGACATGAAACCATAAAAATCCTAAAAAGAGTATAGGTAATAATTTCTTTGACATGGACTATAGCAACATGTTTCTAGATAGGCCTCCCAAGGCAAAGGAAACAAAAGCAAAAATAAACTAGTGGGACTACATAAAAGTAAAAAGCTTCTGTACAGCAAAGGAAATGGCAAAACTAAAAGACAACCTTCTGAATGGGAGATGACATTTGCAAATGACATATCTGAGAAAGGGTTAGCACCCAAAATCTATAAAGCACATATACAACCTAACATCAAAAAACCAAATAATTCAATTAAAAAATGGGCAGAAGACATGAACAGACATTTCTCCAAAGAAGACATATGGATGGCCAACAGATACATGGGACATCTATATGAAAAGATGCTCAACATTACTTATCATCAGGGAACTAGAAATCAGAACTACAATGAGCTATCACTTCATATATGTCAGAATGACTAAAATAAAAAACACAACAACAAATGTTGGCAAGGATGTAGAGAAAAAGGAACCTTCATGCACTGCCGGTGGGAATGCAAACTGATGCAGTCACCATAGAAGGCAGTAGGAAGGTTCCTCACAAAGGTAAAAATAGCACTACTGGGTAGTTACTGAAAAAATATAAAAGCACTAATTCAAAAGGACACATGCACCCCTATGTATATTGCAGCATTATTTATGATACCCCAACTATGGCATCAGTCCAAGTGTCCACCAACAGATGACTGGATAAAGATTGAGTCATAATCAAGAATGGAATCTTGCCACGTGCAATAACATGGGTGAGCTAGAGAGTATAATGCTAAGCGAAACAAGTTAGTCAGAGAAAGACAAATAGCATATGATTTCACTCATATGTGGAATTCAGGAAAACAAACAAAGGAAAAAAGAGAGAGAAACTAAAAATCATATTCTTAACTGTAGAGAACAAACTGATGGCAGCAGAGGGGAGTTGGGTGGGAGAATGGGTGAAATAGGTGATGGGGATTAAAGAGTACACTTAAAACTAATATAACACTCTATGTTAACAATACTAGAGTTAAAACAAAAAACTTAATAATAAAATATAAAAACTATATATCTCCAAAGAATTAACCTAGACTACAATCAACAAGTCTTACAGAGCACAAGCAAGATAACAAGAGAAAACATCTATTTTCTATAGAAGAAAACAAACCTCTTTTCTTAAAAAAATTTTTTTTTCAATGTTTATTTATTTTTGAGAAAGAGACAGAATGTGAGCAGGGGAGGGGTAGACAGAGAGGGAGACACAGAATCTGAAACAAGCTTCAGGCTCTGAGCTAGCTGTCAGCACAGAGCCCCATCATGGGGCTCAGACCCACAAACCCACGAACCGTGAGATCATGACCTGAGCCAAAGTTGGATGCTTAACTGACTGAACCACGCAGGCGCCCCCAGAAAATCACTTTAAACTTTCTTAAAAAAAAATTTTTTTTAACGTTTATTTCTGAGAGCCAGAACATGAGTTCGGGAAGGGCAGAGAGAGGGGAGGCATAGAATCCGAAATAGGTTCTAGGCTCTAAGCTGTCGGCATAGAGCCCGATGCGGGACTCAAACCCATGAACTATGAGATAATGACCTGAGCCAAAGTTGGACACCCAACCGACTGAGCCACTCAGGAGCCCCTCACTTTAAACTTTCTAAACATGTTGCTGAGATATGAAATAGGTATGCAAATTAACCTATGGATATACTACAGCTCTCACAGAGTTTCCTCTTTTTCTTTCCCATCTCTGTTCATTCTCCCACACCTTATCCCACAGATAGGGTCAAAAAAGAATGTGGTGGATCAATTAATTATGGCAACCAATAGAGGTCCCAGGAAAACCCCTCAAAATGGCTCTGGACAAACTGGAATGCTAACAAGGCAAAGGCCACAAGACAAACAAAATCAATTTAACCAGTTTTTAATGGGCACTTCCTATAAATATAAGATACTATGCAGGGAGATATAACATGATGAATGAGATACAATATCTACACTCAAAGATGTTATAATCTAGTAGTGGGACAAAACAGCTATGTTGGTAACTCTAAGTGCCATCAAAGGAATAAGCAAGAGAATAAAGGAAAATTCATCTTTAGCCTAAAAGAAAGGGAAGAATTTAAATCAATGGGTCTTTTCATAATGCACATAAGACATGGCATGTACTCTTGTACTTTCTTGAAACCCCATTATAATAAAAGTAGAAGGTTTTTAGAAAAGAAGATATATACCCACAGGATGAAGAAAATGGGAAAGCAAACAACAGACATAAAAATTTGTGAAGTTAAGAGGGTCTTTTGACTGGCTTAGTCGGTAGAGCATGAGACTCTTGATCTTGAGGTTGTAAGTTTAAGCCCCATGTTAAGCCACGTTAGGTGTAGAGATTACTTAAAATCGTAAAAAAAAATTAGTATGTGAGGAAAAAAAGAGGAACTAATAAGGAATTTAGGACCAGAAAAATCTGATTTCTAAGTAGATTATGTTTCTATAATTCTATATATCTCTATAATTCTACATAGTTATATATATAATTCTATATATGCCTATAATTTTATATAGAATAAATATATATATATCTATATATAAATACATATGTATCTGTAATATACATATATTCTACATATTTCTAGATATATAGAAAGCAAGATCCAGATTCATACTACAGAATCTCAAAAAGGCTTATATTTGGTGATATGGGGGCATTTCTGGGTGAAGGAGTATGGAGAAATGCTAAAAATACCGGTAACCTGGTTGAAAGTCAGTTTTAGAAGCACCCAGACCCCTACACACCTTTCCCCTAGCCTAGCAATAGAGGTTTATTCTCTGAGAAGGATAAAACACTAAGGTCTCTGGGTCAGGGGTCATCAGGAATAGTTGAAAGAAACGCTAATGTACTGAAAACAAGGGAAGTAAGGAAATAACACAGACAGGATGTGTGAATCCCTTACGTCCCAATTCTCCTCCTCTATCCCTCAGTCCCCAGGATGTTGATTGCCATATAGTAAGGAGACTGGAAAGGTTTTCTCTGGGCAATCAGATCAGCCCAAGAGGAAAGATCTTAAGATACTTCATCAGATATTCTCCAACTAATTAACAACCCAAACGAGATCACTCAACAGTGAAGCCCACAGTGCTCAGAATCCCCACTTAAGTGCTGAGAACTTCAACGAGCTTTTTGTTTTTCACTCTCAAGTATGAACAGACAACCAAGGATTCTTAGACTTGAGGAAAGTCCTGTTAAAAAAGACCAAACATGACCTAAAACAAAACAAAAACACAAAGACTGAGCCTTAAGGGCTAGATGGATTTCAACAGACTATAAAAAATATTAAAAAAAATAAAAATTTAAAATAAAAAAAATAGTCCTACAATTCCTTTCTGTTGATCTTAGGGCCTCTCAAACACAACAATTATCTTTAGCATCAAGGAAGGAAACTGTTAAGGTTGCCAATAAAATGGTATAAAAACAGCTTTCTGCTGTTGAGTTACTAATAGTCACTGAAGCCACAAGCTGGGAAAATATGTGGGATGGGTGTGCATCCACATATACTCTTTGAAAAGCAAGGGGTAAAAATCTTTTAAAATGTAAATAACCTTTTTTTTTTTTTTTAAAGTTTATTTATTTAGAGAGAGGGAGAACACACACATGAGCAGCGGAGGGGCAGAGAGACAGGGAGAGAGAGAATCCCAAGCAGGCTCTGCCGTCAGCACAGCACCCAAGGTGGGCCTCAAACTCACAGACTGAAATTGTGACCTGAGCTGAAATTAAGTCAGATACTTAACCGACTGAGCCACTTGGACACCCTGTAAATAAATGTTTTATATACCTTTAACATCTTCTTTAAAAAAAAAATAAAGTACTTGGTTGTCCATTTATAAACTATGATTCTTAGAGATCCTGATTTTTATTAAAAAAATTTTTTTAATGTTTATTTTTGAGAGAGAATGAACACATGAGTGGGGGAGGGGCAGAGAGACGGGTGCAGAGGATCCCAAGCAGGCTCTGTGCTGACAGCAAACAGCCCATAGTGGGGCTCGAACTTACAAACCATGAAGTTACAACCTGAATTGAAGTTGGGTTCTTAACCAACTGATCCACCCAGGTGCTCCAGAGGTTCTAATTTTTAAATCTCAATTTCCAATTAAATAGACATTCCTGTTAGTTACATGATTCTTACTATCCAAGAGTGTTTTTGTTCACTAAATATGGGATAGTGAGAAAAACCCATTTTTTAATTGGACAGTAAATTTACTTTATTTGCCTCTCTAAGATGAGAAAGAGAGAGACAGAGAGAGAGAGAGAAAAAAGGAAGTTTGGAAGGAGGAAGACAATGAAAAAATTTTCTTCACTAAGAAAGGGGAAGAAGACTAGATCCTCAATTGTACTGAGATGTCTTTCAACATTAGACTGCCCTTAACACCAGAAAGCCTTAGATGTTCAATATTTCTCTGCATTGCCATTAGAAGTATAGGATTGGCAGTGAAAGGGTAAGAATTACTGCATTAAGCAAAAAACTTCCTTTCCCCCTTTTGGTTATTTTTGCCATTACATATAGAAAAAGAGTAAAGTTCTGTTGTAGCCCAACCCAGGGCATCATTACTGCTGAACTGCCATTCTGTGGCAGCCACAAATTCTCCTGAAAGCTTAGAAAAAGAAGATAAAGAACTGAGAGCATTACCTAATCTTTTTGCTTACTTTCAACGTAAGAGTTTAATTAAATACACTTCTGACCAACATCTAGAGGTTCAAAAATGCTACCACAACTGTACTAGAGTGGAGATGAAAGAAATTAAGAAAAAAAATTCCACTTTCTAATAACACTGGGGAGAAAGAGAAATAGGAGTGGAAGATAATTATAATTAAATTCACCTTTATTAATGTTTTAAAATATTAAGTCAACTCCACCTGTTTCTACACAACAGCAAACAAGAATAGATTCAAAAAGATTTTCTAACTCCAATTCAGAAGAAACTTGGCTGAATTATGGTATATGATAGCCAACAGAATATATACATTTAGATATAGATTTTTAATTTATTTTTTAAATGTTTATTTATTTTGGAGAGGGAGAGAGAGAGCAAGTGAGCAGGGGAAGTAGAGAAAGAGAGAAAGACACAGAATCGGAAGCTGTCCCCACAGAGCCCGATGCGGTGCTCAAACTCACAGACTGCGAAATCATGACCTGAGCCAAAGTCCAATGCTTACCTGAATGAGCCACCCAGGCGCCTCTACAACAGAATATATAAACAGGTACCTTTAATACAGCTTAGGAAACACAGTCAATGGTACTGTAATAGTGCTGTGTGGGGACAGATGGTAGCTACACTCGTGGTGAGCACAGCATAGTGTACAGACTTGTCAACCATCATGTTGTACACCTGAAACTAATGTAACACTGTGTGTCAACTATACTTCATAAATAAATAAGTAAGTAAATAAATAAATAAAAGGGTACCTTTATTCTGTCAGTGAACTGGTATTTTTTAATAACCATTTCCTGCAACTGGCAAAAATCTCCATTCAGTTCTACTCCGTATAGTTGCAGTGCTGAACTGTAAAGGTAACCCTGAAAAAATGAAGACATGTTATGATGCAAATGAATTAATTGTGAGTTCATTTCTACTTAAAATTTAAAAAGTCAAACTTTAAAAAAAAGAGAATTCAATAAAGGAAAAATAAAATGAAAGATAAATAACTTGGAGTGCATGTATGCATGTAAAACCTAGGACTTCAAGAACTTAAAGACTATGACTTATCAAGACCTTGATTGTAGTTTATTAATTTCCATTATTTAGAAGTAATCATATTTTGGAAGATTGATTTCTTCCTTTTCCTGATAAAACTGTGCATTCAACAAAGTTGGAAGTGATCACATACAGACTCTCTGTTTAATACCCTATTTCTGTAATTTCTTGGCAAGTTTTATCAGGGGAAATCAAGAAAAGGAGTTAACCTGTGGAGAATATAATGGAAAATCATGCACAGTATGACAATAGAAAAAGGTGGCCAGAGATGTGTCTGTTGGGCTTAGGAAAGTCAGTCTGGGGTCTGCAATCTGCTAAAGATAATTGGCCAATTGGTTAGCAAGGATAATCAAGAACTGACTAAATATTAATAATGTATCCATTTTTGGTTGCAATAACAAAAAAATAGTATGGGAGGAGAGGCAAATCATATTCTGAATATCACTTTATATGAACAAACACCCATATGTAAATCAGATTTATATTTACAGCCCATACTGGATTTTTAGAATATGTTCAACAGAACATATGAAGGTATTCAAAAATTTCTGTTGAATCAGTAACCATATTAATAAGGAGAAAAATGACAATATGTTTATTAACGCTGCCACATACCTGTGTAGCCAGGTTTCTTTCAGCTATATACTCTTCCAACAAATCAGAAAATGGACAAGAGTGGAGCAAATATGGTAAACAATCATAATCTCTAATGTTCTCCAAACAAAACCATCTGACAATCTGTATTTTCTATTACAGGTGTCATTACTAATTATAGAATGAAAGCCTTAACACTATAAAACAAACTAAGCACTAAAGAGTTAACTTTCTGTTCAGAGCAGGCAATGGATGCTGGGAACTGATGGTGTCTATTTCTGGCATGAGTCTCTCCTGCTGTTGGCCACATGTTTTAACAAGTCGCTAATGACAACCAGAAACCACATTTAAGTTTTTTGATAAAACCATTTAAGAGCATTAGAAATACTCATGATTTGAATTTTTAAAAAAGCCACCTTGAAGTGATATTTCAGAAACAAATGTCTACATTCAAAATCGAATCATGGAAAATTGGAGCAAGATGTACTTGGATACCATTTAGTTAGCTTATTTACAAGTGAGGAGCTTGAAGTTAGGGGTATTAAGGGACTTGCTTATGGCCATATATAATTTCCTAGGTCAGGTAAATTTTGTAAAACTTTAATAAAAGCTCTTACCAAAGCTGAGTCCATCAATAGTGATGGACAAAATAGCAAAGTGTTAGGAGGGTCACCTGCTTGTTTTGTTGATATTCTTTTATTTGTATCACAGAGACAAACTAGTAAAGGAAATCAGAGGACTGGCCTTTGAAATTCCAAGTCCAATATACTATTTTAACTTCATTATTCTGTTACTCTAATAAATAAAGCCAAGCTGTCACCTTGGATGGTGGCAGGCAAAACTGTTGCTAGCAGAAGAAAGTATTTTCCAAATGTTGAGTGTGTCCACAAGCTGGACTTTACCCCATAAAGGACTGTGCCAAGTCTGGAGCCAACGTCAACCAAGACCTTTCCCGACAGATCAGGGAGGACATGATGATAAATAAACTTCAATTCCATCAGGGAGAAGGAATGAGAAATAAATCCTGGAGAATGAGAACAGAATAAACATCAAATTGTGCTTAGGAATTAAACATTGTCTTCTTTTTTCTAATTCTTTAATCCATATTTATAAAGCATATATTTTTTAAATTTTTAAAATGTTTATAATTGAGAGAGAGTCAGAGAGACAGAGCGTGAGTGGGGGAGGGGCAGAGAGAGCTGGAGACACAGCATCTGAAGCAGGCTCCAGGCTCTGAGCTGTCAGCACAGAGCCCAACATGGGGCACGAACCCACAAATGGTGAGATCATGACCTGAGGTGAAGTTTGATGCCCCACAGATTGAGCCACCCAGGTGCTCTATAAAGCGTATTTCATGTTTTTCTCTTCTTCATCAACGAAGGCAATTTAGTGTTTTTTTTAGAAAAAAATTAATATGATAATTTTGCACTCACTCACTCTGAGCTGTATTAGAGAAGAATAAATATGAAGTCTCTGACATTTAAAAGGCCTCTAGAGAACAGCTACTTAGCAACCTGTCCCTATCCCTGTGCCCCCTCGCTTCCTTGCTGCTACTTAGAGGTCCTTGGTTTTCCCTTCTTTGCCCTATGACTGTTACTCTGTGGGATGTTTCCTAACTCCCATAGCATCTGGCTTTCTCCCCTGACCCCAGAGCAACCAGAGAACAGCCACACACTGCTGCATAGAACACTGACTACTGAATGAATGATCACCTCTGGAGTTGTGCAACGTGGCAGCCCGGACCAACCTAAAATGCACTCTGGAGTGCAGGAGGAGGCTGGTATGAGGGGAGGCGAAGACACCCCCATAAATCATTTTTATTTCCCTTAGTTTAATTGCTACAATTTTTTAACTTCTACTAGGTTCTTAGCCCATCTTCTTATCCCATTGTTTGTGTAACAAATATCTGGAAGAACCTGAGTATATTTTTTAAAGACTTACTATATTATGTCCTACATAATATAATGGTCAGGAAGGGGAGAAACTTTGGCTATAAGTAATAGATGGTAGCAAAGAAAATGGGAAGCAGGCAGGCTAATCCCTTGGAAGAAAATAAAGGGTGTGACTGGGGGGGGGGGGGGGGCTTTGACCACTACAGTCCTTTTCTGCCTAGAGTCCTCATCTGCACACCTGGCCTGCACACCCAGTCACTATTTACAACCTGATTTCTATGGGAAAATGCATCTATTTTCCCACAAAATGCTTTGTAATTTTCAAATTGCTATGTGTCAAACATATCTCTTCTTTAGACTTCTGCAAATCAGATCTGATATGGTATTATAGTTGTAATTCACTTTTTAGTTTTTATTCTATGGTTCTTGTCTAAGTCCTTTTTCTGTGAATTTCAACTAACTCAAATGGCAACTGTGAGTACTGCCTAAAAATAGAATCTTAAACAGCAAATCAGGGAAATTTAATTCCCCATTATAATATAGATACAATATATTTGTATTAGCAGCACATTACAAATTTGGTAGTAGTTAACTTCTGACAATGATATTATCTGAGGTAAGTAATATCAACACAAGATTACTTACCTGGAGGGGTGGGCCACTATAAGCAATAACTCTAAATCTAAGTGACCAGGAAGATTGAAATAGCATGTCTAAAGCAACAGCCTAGATGGTCATATCCAATATGAACAAAGAATATGTTAACAGAAGAGTTAGCATATTAGTAGCATGGGGTTAGTCTAACTTCCCATTTGGGACACAGGTGTTGCATCTGAGGGGCAGAGAGGCAGGAGACTTTCTGTCACTAGTGTTGTACTCTCTTACAGACTGGAGACATTTGACTAGGTCAAATCATGGCATGAATAAACTCAAGATTATCTTTTTTAAAAAGTTTTTTTTTTTTAATGTTTATTTATATTTGAGAGAGAGAGAGAAAGAACATGTTTGTGTGTGCGAGTTCGGGAGGGGCAGAGAGAGATGGGGACACAGAGTTCGAAGCAGGCTCCAGGTTCTGAGCTGTAAGCACAGAGCCCAATGCGGGGCTTGAGCTTATGAGCTGTGAGAACATGACCTAAGCTGAAGTTGGATGCTCAATGGACTGTGACATCCAGGCACTCCCAAGATTATCTATTCCTGTCCTCTGAATCCATGTCCATCCAACAATATCCAACAATATCTGGTTACTATCTGACTTCTCAAGTAGATGCATTTATTTATTTATTTAATTTATAATGTTTTATTTATTTCTGAGAGAGAGAGAGAGACAGGGTGAGCAGGGGAGAGTTAGAGAGAAGGGGAGACACAGAATCAGAAACCGGCTCCAGGCTATGAGCTGGCTGTCATCATAGAGCCCGACGTGGGGCTCGAACCCTCGAACTGTGAGATCATAACCTGAGCTGAAGTTGGACGCTTAACTGACTGAGCCACCCAGGTGCCCCTCAAGTAGATGCTTTTATATGAAGACCACTTCAGGGCCCCTGCAGTTACATTTCTCATTGTAAATGAATGAGCATTATGGCTTATCTATTAATCTCTTTTAAGTATGGAAAGTATAAATTGGTTTCGCTGTACTCAGTTACTTCTGATTAGTTTCTGGACCTGAAAAGTCACCTCTGTGAAAAGCAGAGAAACCTTCCCTGGAGACATTAAGTGGCCTAACTTTCCTGGACAAGATTTCTATTTCGCCTCCTAAACCACGATAATTCTAATGGCTATGTTGGAGATTGGTCTTTCCCTGTCAAAAACCATTGAATGCCTCGATCAAGAATTTGCATTCTTGGGCATCTGGGTGACCTAGTTGGTTAAACATCTGACTCTTGATTTCGGCTCAGCTCATGGTCTCACAGTTGGTGGTATCAAGCCCCACGTCAGGCTCTGTGCTGACAGTGTGAAGCCTGCTGGGGATTCCTTCTCCCTCTCTCTCTCTGTCCTACCCCTGCTCGCACATGCTCTCTTAAAAATAAACTTAAAAAAAATGTAATTAATTTTAAAAAATGAGTTTGTATCCTCATAGAATGTAAAGAAAAGAATACACAAAGTCATCAGGTTTGCATATTTGAGTGCCTACCTAAAGGTGCAATCTGGCGTGAGCCACAAACCATACAGTAGTTTCTGCTCATTCTTCCTTCCTCACATAATGAATCAATAAAGTCTTCATCATAAAGGAATGCATCAACGTGAACTGTGGGTTCTGGCTGCTGCTGTATCTGGTGGAGAGAAGAAGAACTTCAAAAGAAACAAAGTACAAAGGAGTCTCTTTTTATTGCTAAATAAGGCAAAACATCAGTGGTTCACATGCTAAAAATCTGAGAGCAAAAACAAGGCACAGAAAGACAAGTTTCACTTACTGAAGAGCAACCCTGCTCTTCTTTCATTTTATTTCTGAGACACTTAGAAACTTTAAAGCTGATCTGTAATGATACAACATATGGCCATGAGAAATATATAAAATTTGAGTTAAAGGAGTATTTTGAGACCTTCCTGTCCATCCTAACTAGTATATTTTACAAATAAAGAAACTCATACTCAGAGAGATATCTCCAAAGAAATGACCATAAGAGAGGAAAGAATTGAAACTAAAACTAATACCACACTCTTCTGAGTCCTACATGTCAGTGACTTACCTACCAAAATACTTAGCAAGTAATCTTAGATAAGAGGCAAAGTTTTCAAATAATAATGATGTTAGTAAAATTTCTTGCTGACAATAGCCTTTTATTAATACTGGCAATACATGACATAATAGCAAGTGGCTACAAAGGAAAAAATGTCTGATTCTTTTCACCTTAACTATAATAAGGTATCAACCTATTTACTTAGAGATCTATAAAATGATATCTACACCTACACACACACACACGAATCTATGTTATACGTGTGTAATATGTATGAACATACACAAGGTCTAGAAAGAAAGAAAGGAAGATAAAAATAGTTTGTTAGGATAAGGGATTATGGGTTAACCATTACAGGCAATGAATGTACTTTTTCCTTGTTTCATATATTTTGGTATATCATGCTAGAGATAGGACTGCCTTATTAATAACATCCAAACTATTATTACAAATACTTTCTCAGTTTTTATACTATCCACTACTTTCCACCTATGAGAATCCACTCTGAATGACTAGACGTTTACTAAGATTCGCTAAGTGTTCACAATGTGCACAGCACTATTAAAAATTTACAGGATTTAGTTCTGCTTAGGAATTTGCATACTGAAAAACCACATAGAGAGTTGCTGTTTTCAGATTAGTGGGAGAAGAGATTATTATTAGCTTTGCTTTAGGAAACAATATTCCTAGCATATGTACCCCATAAGAGTTGAGATCTGAAGGGACTTGAATGAGGGGGTTGTCTGGACAAGAAAAATGGGAACTTATTTTAGGAACAAAGGAACTGAATAAGCAAAAATTGTACAGTGCAAAAGCAGGAGAAGGAAACAAAGAGATGAATTTCACCTTTGATAAAAGTGAGGGAAATGGAACAGGAAACGAAAACCAGGACAATGATGTAGGCAGGGCCAGAGTAGGGCTGGGCCTTGTTTTGGAGGCGGGTGGGGATGGGTTAAGTGCCTGGCAAACAGGATGCCTTCATAAAATATTTGTTGAATGAATGGGGAGCCTACTCAAAAGAACTGGGGACATCACTGAAGCACCAAATGAAATACTGTTTAAAGCAGAATTCAGGACTAATTTTAGACCAGAGAGGCTGTGGGATTAGGGAAGAATAGGAGAAGCCTCAAAGAGCACTAAAAGTACATTAATGTAATGTATTTACTTTTTGGAGCGCTAGATGTTCTGAGGAAAGCATGGTTTCTAGAGGTAAGCAATTCCGAAGGTCCTCTGCTATGTTTTTCAACATAATGTCCTTATTATCTTGAGTGAATTCATCAAAATCTCCTGGAAAAAATAAAAAGGAAGAAATATCTTTTATGATTTCGGTCATACCTAAGTGAATACAATGGACATATTTTCCATCAGACAGCATCAATTTATAACAATAAATAAATCTTCTAACCAATGAAATATTCAAATTCTAACAAATGTTCCATTTCAAATAGAGAGTTTTTCTTTTTTCCAAACCGTTTGAAAATACAAAACTTGACTACTTCAGCCTGCTCAAGAAGAACAAAAGAATTTAAAATATATATAGTATTGGGGCCCCTGGGTGGCTCACTGGGTTAAGTGTCTGCCTTCAGCTCAGGTCATTATTTTGCAGTTTGTGGGTTTGAGCCTCGCATTGGGCTGTGAGCTGACAGCTCAGAGCCTGGAGCCTGCTTCGGATTCTGTGTCTTCCTCTCTCTGCCCCTTCCCCACTTGCACTCTGTCTACACCTCTCTCTCAATAAATGAATAAACATTAAAAAATAATAAAATAAAATAAAAAATATATAGTATTTTAGGGGCACCTGGGTGGCTCAGTGGTTAAGAGTCTGACTTCAGCTCAGGTCATGATCCCATGGGTCTGTGAGTTCAAGCCCTGCATCAGGCTCTGTGCTGACAACTCAGAGCCTTAAGCCTGCTAAGGATTCTGTGTCTCCCTCTCTCTCTCAAACATAAATAAACATTAAAGTAAATAAAAAAATAAGTAGTATTTCTACATGGCAATGAGAAAAGAATGAAATCTAGCCATGTGTAACAATGTGGATGGAACTTGAGGGTGTTATGCTGAGCGAAATAAGTCAGGCAGAGAAGGACAGATACCATATGTTTACACGTATAGGAGGATTAGGAGGAACTTAACAGAGGACCATGGGTGGGAAGAAGAGGAAAAATAGTGGGGGAGAGGGAGGGAGGCAAACCATGAGAGACTCTTGAATGCTGAGAACAAACTGAGGGCTGCTGGGGGTGGGGGAGAGGGGAAGGGGGGTGATGGGCATGGAGGAGGGCACTTGTGGGGATGAGCACTGGGTGTTATATGGAAACCAACTTGACAATAAACTATTTAAGAAAAAAAAGAGAGACAGAGAGACGGAATAAAAGAATCACTTGTCAAAAAAAAAAATGCAGTATTTTAACTATTTTTACTCAAGAATAGCACCGCCATTAGTTTTTTAGGGTCTTAAACTCACCAGTAAGTGATTAAATATTCCTTCTCTAACCATACAGATCTTAGTGTAGGAGGCATCACAGAGATTACTAAGAAGATAACTTTAAACTGAGTATCCCTGCCTCCAACCAAAGGTACTTAAGACTTAAGATAATAAGCACTAACAGCTGACACCAACTCTATAATATATTTAACAATGATCACGTTGATCTGCTGTACTTGAGCCAGCAGATAAAACTATAATTAAAACAGCGTATTTCTGGGATGCCTGGGTGGCTTAGTCGGTTAAGCATCCGACTTTCGCTAGGTCATGATCTCGTGGTTCGTGGGTTAGAGCCCCGCATCGGGCTCTGTGCTGACTGCCAGCTCAGAGCCTGGAGCCTATTTGGGAGTCTGTATCTGCCTCTCTCTCTGACCCTCCCCTGCTCATGCTGTCTCTCTCTCTTTAAAAAAAAAACAACAACAACAACAGCGTATTTCTGGGGGGCCCTGGCTGGCTTAGTTGGTGGAACAGGCAAATCTTGATCTTGTGGTCATGAGTCTGAGCCCCATGTTTGGTGTAGAGATTACTTAAAAAGAAAAAAAAGCCTATTTCTTTTTTTTTTAAAGACTTCTTTCTTTTTCTTTTTTTTTTTTTAATATTTTATTTATTTCTAGGAGAGAGAGAGAGAGACAGCGTGAGCAGGGGAGGGTCAGAGAGAGAGGGAGTCACAGACTGAAACAGGCTCCAGGCTCCGAGCTGGCAGTCTGCACAGAGCCCGACGCGGGGCTCGAACCCACGAACCGCGAGATCATGACCTAAGCGAAAGTCGGACGCTTAACCGACTAAGCCACCCAGGCGCCCCAAGACTTCTTTCTTTTTAATGTTTATTTTTGAGAGAGACAGAGACAGAGACAGAGAGACAGAGAGAGAGAGAGAGAGAGAGATACAGAGGATCCAAAGCAGGCTCTGCACTGATAGCAGTGAGCCTGATGTGGGGCTCAAACTCACTAACTGCAAGATCATGATCTAAGCAAAAGTTGGATATTTAATCAACTAAGCCACCCAGATGCCTCAAAAGAGCATATTACTGATGGCTGTGGCCTACTTTTGGATGATGTGGCAAAAGGTGGAGCAGTAGTGGAGGTAAGGGAGAGTATGTGTAGTAATAAAGATGGAGAAGGTCTAGTTAAGAGATGATGAATCTAGGTAAGGCTATAAAAGGGTGTTTATTGTTCTGTTGTTTCTACTTTTCTGTATAATATATTTTGGTTCTAAAAAAGATTATTTCCGGGGCGCCTGGGTGGCTCAGTTGGTTAAGAGTCCGACTGTGGCTCAGGTCATGATCTCACAGCTTATGGGTTCGAGCCCCGCATCAGGCTCTGTGCTGACAGCTAGCTCAGAGCCTGCAGCCTGTTTCAGAGTCTGTGTCACCCTCTCTCTCTGACCCTCCCCTGCTCATGCTGTCTCTCTCTCAGAAAAAAACAAAACAAAACATTAAAAAAAGTATTATTTCCAAGCAGCTCACATATAATTTTAAATACAATGTAATTTATCTGAAAGTAAAATACTTTTAAAGTTAGCTACTATCTGGGATGCCAAATGTAGACTGGAAAGTACTACTAATGAAAATATTTTACCTTTCTCTTAAAAGACTTTCTTATACTAAATTCTTGCTAGATAAAAGCATGCCAAGGGGACCTGTTTTAAAATAGCTGCAGAAGGAAAACAAGGAGATCCTGAAGGAAATGTCATCTGTCTCCACATTCCCTGCCCCCAATTCATGGACTGTTTTTAAGTAAGCTCGTGATTTCATTCTTAAACAAAAAAATAATTCTTGTGTTTGTTCAGAATGCTATTATCATGTCACTAATAACAATTAAAAGTTAAAAAGCAGGCCAACAGCAGCACAAGGAAATAAGCGGAGGTTTTCTGCTTTTAAATAAAGGTACTCTTCTTTTTCGCTATATTACTTTGTGCCTTACATACAAAGGATCTTTCTCTGCATAACTTCTCATTAAGCAATAGTAATTAATACAAGGATTTGGCTCACTGAACTGATGTGGGAAGGCCTTGGAGCTCTTTTTTCTCTTCTCACCTATCTAGCATAATGTTCTAAGATGTTCCTTCAAATCATTTTTAGAAGGAAGCAATATATAAATTATAGAGAAAAATACTATTAAAATTTATTCCGAACTGTTTTAGGTGGAACTTAAACAGCCTCTGTGATGTTTTTCAAAAAATTGGCCTTTTTAATTGTATTTGTAAAGTCTAATTAAATTTTCTCAAGGTGCTAATTAATACCTAACATCTGCTTAGCTTCCTTCCCTCCATAGATAGAACACTGTCTGGGAGCCTCTATGACTCACATTTAATTCTAATAATAGCACTCCCACCAGCGATCCTTAGTGGGTTCTCTCAATTTGTAAATGGTATCACTAGAGAAGCCAAAAAAAAAAATCTCATTATGTTAAACTAAGATATTTCCTATCCCAACTGTTTGGACTAATTCTGTAACATCAACAACTATATTAATAAAAAACATAGTTTTCATGTGGGTCTGCCTCATAAAAATGAGTCTTACAAAGGCTCCTGGATGGCTCAGGTGGTTAAGTGTCTGACTCTTGAATTTGGTTCAGGTCATGATCCCACGGTTCATGAGACTGAACCCTGAGTTGTAGATCCTGCTGAGGATTTTCTCTCTCTGTCTCTCTCTCTCCCTCCCTGCCCTTTCCCTGCTCACATGCCTGCATGCTTCTCTCTCTCTCTCCCTCTCTCAAAATAAATAAACTTAGAAAAAAATGAATCTTACAGTGAAAAAGGAACTTAGACTATAACCTATTACCAAATGGCCCACCTATCCACGCATCTCTGATATATACGCATGCATATATATATACATGTATATATATATATATATATATATATATATATATACACATACGATAGTTGTTTAGTCTTTGCTTGAACACATTCAGAGACAGAATGCCATCCTCATGCTGAGCTAGAATCTGACTCTCTATAACATTAACTCATTTTTCTAGTTTCAGCCTGAGAGGAATCATCACCTTTAATGCGATACATTTACTGAATGAACCCTTAAGGTATGCTAGACTTGGTGAAGTGCTAATTAGGTGGTACTATGATTATTTCTATTTTATAACAAAAACAACAAAAAATCTGAGGTCAGAGGTTATTTGTCTCAGTCACAGTGGCCAGAAGGTGGTGACTTAGGGTTTGAACACAGGTCTTAGTCTGAACTCTTTATTACTACTACACCATAGCATAGAAAGTAGCTGGCTAGTAACAGTTCTCCTATCACTAGTAGAATCTTCTCTTCTCCCCACTTCTGTCCAGTTCTCCATACGATGTGGCAGCCATATCTTTTGCCATCTGCTTGCTGTCTTCTGGACTGGTTCAACAGAAACCTTTAAATGTAGCCCTGAGCTAACATTGGCAATATAGTTCTCTAATCCATGACTACCTTGGTTTATTCTCTTCTCCTATCACATTGTAGCATCTAGGGTCCTGATCACTTCTGCTACTGGGTGATTCATCAATTTGGAAGGGGTGATGGTGGAGGTGGAGGCCAAAGAGTGTCTTGAATAGTCATATGTAAAGATCAGAGAAGCTGGAACAATGACAGATGGAAATCGCTGCAAATTCTAAGCCATCACAATAGATTTCTAGCTCTCTCTCTGGTAAAATATGTTTATTTGAGAGTCAATACTTCAATTAATGTGAGCATTACCAGTTGAGAGGTACTATGAAACCATGTATTAAATTCAGTCATTTAAAAAGTTAGTACTGAATGAAGAAGACTGCATTTGTTTTACCCCAATACCAAGGACATCAGGTGAAAAAGAGAATT